CCCCCCAATATTCTCGCTCGGGCAGATCAATTATCCTTTTCCCTCCAACCTCTCTCTTTTCCATATCGCCCTTTTCCCCCCTAAAAAGCTACAGCTTGCCTTTCAGAATGGCTGCTTCCGCCCCCAATCTCTACAGCTTTGCGAATACCGATGCTTTGGCCCAGCAACTGAGGCCTTACGTCCTCCGGATCCAGAACTCCGCCTTGAGTCGTCACAGCACTTTCCGTGTCGCTGTCTCTGGTGGTTCCTTGCCGAAGGTGCTGGCGCAGGCTCTCCTCACGCCTGGAAATGGGTCCGAAGAAGACACTGCTCAGTTCTCCAAGTGGCACATCTTCTTTGCCGATGAGCGCGCCGTACCCCTCGACCACGAGGACAGCAACTACCGTTTGTTGAAGGACGAACTGCTCGATAAGATACCAACGGAACTTGGGGCTCCCACCGTGCATACGATCGACCCCGCTCATGTCAATGATGAGGATCCCCAGGAGCTGGCCGACCTGTATCAGGAGGACCTCATGCGCTCCTTTGCGGCAAAAGACAGTGTGAAGTTGCCTGTCTTCGATCTCATCCTCTTGGGGTGCGGGCCTGATGGTCACACCTGCAGTCTTTTCCCTGGCCACGAGCTTCTCAGAGAGAAGGATGCTTGGACGGCAGCCATCAGCGACTCACCTAAGCCGCCCCCGAAGCGCATCACCCTTACTCTTCCGGTGGTCACGCACGCTCTCAACATCGCATTTATCGCGACTGGAGGTGGAAAGAAGGATATCATGAAGCAAATTTTTGATGCCGAGGAAGGAAGAGACTTGCCGTCCTCATTGGTCAACCAGGGTGCCGGTGAGAAAGTCAGCTGGTTCACTGACCATGCGGCCATTGAGGGCGTCGCCTTCCCCAGACGTGGCAGTTTGTAGTCGATGGGCGCACATGACCCAAATTGTTTTCATTCGATCAGAACTACGTGCACAGGTAATGTGAGGGATACGAGGGATACGATAGCTATCGGTGATTGCGCTTTTGCAACAGGTGTGGGAAACTTCTGCAGTTTCGTGTTGGAAATGACTGAGGGAAGTGGATGGGGCTGGGAGTTTGATGAGCGTTGTCGCTAGGACTGGATGACTTGTTCCGCCTTTTGTATCTGCGAGTTTCCCTTCTAGACTTCAGGAAAAGTTTGTGTTGTTATCCTGTGGATATCACAGACCGCTTCTCAATGAATGGACGAATGCTATAATCACGTGAATAAGCCCCAGTATTTGGCAGACGAAATCTGAAGCTCTGTATGGTCACTACAGTCGTTGATTAAAAAGATCAAGGGTCATGATTATCATGAGATCCATCATAGGTACAGTACAAGTTCCAGTTCCTGAAGTAGCAGTTCAAGTGTAACCAACTTCGACCAAACGTGCGTAGTAACAACCTTGAACCCTGTTAGGGGTGCTCATCGGGCTGCAGTGAGCCAAGCTTCCACTGGTTATGCGGAACCTTCACCGCAGCTGCCCCCGTCTGGAACTGCCGCCTTCAGCTGAACTCGGACCTCCACCTCTGCGACTCCCCCCAAGCACCATTTACATCGGTGTAGAAGAGGCTATGTCCGGCCTACAAAGCTCAATCCTGAATACATTGTTTCTTCCAGTCGACTCAGCGTCCGCAAATGTCTTGATATACCATCATAATGCCGATTCCAACGCGCTCCCTTTCCCTACGTGAGCCCCGTACCGGTAAGGTTAGTTGCATCTTGTCACCCCTTTATTACCTCTCTCATTCAAGTGACTGCAATGGCCTCGGAACACCTTTGTCAATCTGCTCTGCCTTATGCTTTTCCTTTGTGTGCTATTCCAATCCTCCTGTCTCATGATTGCTAACACAGAAATATTCAGCCATTGACCATTGGGCGCTCTACTACCACCAAAGCCAACCCTCCCACAACCTCGACGGCAGTTGGCGGCAAATCTTCTTATCATGCCACCGGAAATGAGAATATTACAACACGAAACAAGAGCCTTCTGCCGGTCCGTGACGATGCCCGCTCTGCGAAACCCTCTCGAATTCAACAGCCGGCAGAGACTCGCCTGTCCCAGCGGCCGACCAAGACCGGGGGGAAGGGGTCTCAGCAGCAAGGTGAACCTTCGACACGCGAAGCGACCGGGGTAAATCGTCGCCAGAGCCTCATTCGACCCAGTCCGCTGAAGCCTATTGGACCTGTGAAGCCAACCGCTACGATAAGCACCCCTAAACAGGCCACTTTTGCACCAAGTCCTTTGTCCCCCTCCAAACAAGAACTAGCTCCCAGGCAGGATGGACGGCCCTTATCTCCCAAGAAATCCGATATGCCTCCCCCGTCGCTCCGACCCAGTCGATCCGCTTCCTTACGACAGCCAGTCAAGTCCAGCTCCAGCACACCATCCATCAGTCGCGGCCACGCGCGTCATCGAAGTCAAGGGGTCACGCCCAACGTGAGCCGATTGATAGGCAAATTGGAGCCACCTTCACCGAGCACCACAACTCCGACACGCCCGAGAGCTCAGATTTCGTTCCAACCGCAATATCTACTGTCAAAAAAGGCGGTCAATCCGGCTACAAAGAATCTGAGTGCTACCACGTCCGAGGATGCGGATGCTTCTTCATCACCCTCATCCTGGCCCGAGCTTGCAGCCTTGCAGACAGAGATGTTACAACTAAGCCTTACGCACTCCTCATCTCTTCAACAGAAGACTTCCTGGACGGCCGATGTCGAAGCTCAACTCCGGAAGGACTACAAGTCCGTGGCCAGCAAATACCGCGCCGCGCTCGCTGCAGAGCAAGATTATCAGACGAAACTCAATGGACTCGCACTGCATTGCTGGTTTCGAAACTCTTGTGAGCACAATGGCCCACTCGGATTTGCGGAGCAGATTCGGATACTTTCTCGGGTTGCAGAAGACGTGTACATGGTGACGGATTCTCTGGAAGGGCAGTACACGGTGGTCTTGCAGAAATTTGAAGAGTGGTTTCAGCGGATGGAAGAGATTCGGCACCACCGGCTTCACCATGAGCACGAAATGTACGACGGCGTTTTCATTGATTCCTTAGACCGCACTTGGCAAGAAGAAGTGTCGGCTTTATCTACGAAATTGGACTATTGCTCGCGGCAGCTACAAAGCCTGGATCTTCTAGGCTACGGAGAGTTGGAGCGATTCGACAGCTCTGCGCTGTTTCGCATGATTAAGAATCTCGAGAAGACGGTGAACCTGATGATCGAGGAGCTGCACACAATCCGTAAGATTGAAGGCGACGTTGTAAGAGCGGAACGGGCATGGGTTGGTCAACTTGCTCGGAGGCTGGTGAGCGCCATGCCACTCCAAGAACAGCGACAGGGACTCTGGAAGAAACAGGCCTTCATGCAATCATGATGAATTGTTTACAATCGCTTTTCTTTCCTGGCGGCGAGTCCTCGTTTCTCACCCACCATGGTTGAGCGGACAACATGTGCAGGGACCAACCTGTTTATCAAACAAGCAATCCTTCTGGAAATCAGAAATCAGTGCACCGGATTTGGTCGGACGAGAGATCGACTGCCGTAAGCGTTGCCCCGGGCCATGGATTCTCGCCTGGGCAGAACATTGGGGGGAAGAGGTGGGGGGGGTAAGTAAACCAGCAATGCATCATGGGGTCATCAAGGGACGAAAAAACCGGTTCTAGCAGGCTCCCGGCCGCTCATTGGGAGGCCTGGCTGATTCCTACACTAGGTAGCCCTGCTCACTAGCTGCCTTGCGTCGCAAGCGATCGGGCAACCCCTTCCAGGACTTGTGCATAACGCGACCCGGCTGTCAAAAGGGCCTGTCTCGATTCTAGAAGGTAGGCATTGCTACACTTGAAACCTTGATTTGGGTCAAGGCTAACCCG